AAAATATCTTCTCTCATTAGTGAACTTTTAGATGCTGAATGTTGGTGATAAGTACTTTGGGAGGCAGAGCGACATCATGTCTGTTGTGCAATACAGATAACCAGTGTAATGCCGTTAAGAAAAGTCAGCAAGTAACAGACAGATCGGCTTGGAGTATTTGGCATCTAAAACAAACAGCATCACCATGAATGATAAATGTGAAAATAACAAAAGCTAATTTAATTGTGATGGATGCACACATATCTAAAGCTAGAACTTGAAAATTGAGTTTTCTCCTTTATAAAATTTCAATGTTCTTTGATTTTTTTAACAGGGAACACTTTAAGTGTCAAATCTAGAGTAGAAACAAGTAAGATAAATTTTTTTGAACTCTTACTTTTATGTATCAAGAAAAACAAATTCGGAGAAAATTTATGCAAATAATGCAATTATTGAAAAACCTTAAATTAATAAAGGTTACAGCGGAAAGTTAATACACCAGACATCAGAGGTAAAATCAGGGGAATCCGATAACTAGGGATCCAACACCCAATCCCCACTGTGAGGACAACCCCCACAACCCCCTGTAAACAAAGACCTGCCGTGCACATGCGTGCTGAAAAAGGTGGTCAGACGCGACCAGCCAAACACTTCCAAGACATTTAACCCGCCCGAAAGCTCAAGAAGTCCACAGAGCGACTCCAGAGGCCCACCATCGCGGTTCGGACCATCGAGATAAGGATTTTTCATTCAGGTTAATCACCATTTCCACTCGAGCAGAACTAGGCTAGCGGGGGTGGGGAGGGCAGAGGCGACCCACAGCTGATTTGCTGCTGGTCCACACAGGCCAGTGGAGCCGTCTCTTCACGTCTGAGCTTGTTTGAAGGCAAACTTAGACATAAACTTACCTTGAGGGTAAGGCTCCTCGCGCTGGATAATCCTCATGAACAGTTTTGTGAAGTTGTAGAGGTTTCCCATTCCTTTCGCATCGAAACGCACGGGTGCCCTATAATTATTGTTCAGCACAGGAGGGCTATATTCTATTTCACGGTAAGGCATAACGTTGGGAAGGGCTTGCTGGGGCCCTGAAGGCCCCAAGCCCGAGGACGGAGCTATGGCATAACTTAAAACCAACACGGTCCCCGCACAAAACCAAACAAAACAACGGCTGGGCCTGTGAGCGAGCGCCATGTTGGCGGAGAAAGCCGCACGAACGGCCCTCCTCCTCCGAGAGACCAGCGCACACTAACACAGCCCGTTCCGTTCAGTCAGAGCTGTCGTTCCTCTCTCGCTCCCTCCTCAATTTGAGCTCGTGCAAGAGCGAGCGAGAGAGACTGTTTGCCCCGCACACAAGTGAGTGGGGGAGGAAAAAAGAAGGGGGGGGGGCATTCACTCGATGGAGGAAATCGGTTCGGCGAGGAAGGATGAAAGTTTGAATTGTTCAAAAATGGCAAGAAAGCGGAGTAGTTGAATAGTTTTTAATGGTGACGCATTGTTTCATAATAATTACTGGCCAACTGAAAAATAAATTTCAAAAAACAGTTGGCAGTGCTGGAGTCCCAAGTCCAGGCTGCAATCTTGTAAACCTCCAAAAAACGTTAAAAAAAGGTTTATTTTTGTTTTTCTTGTTGCAGTTTAAACTTTCAATGAGAGTCTCGAAATTTAAACGAATTTTAATTTGTTTGTTGAAGTAATTTGATTGTGAAAAATGATTAACGTGATAAAGCACGTTGACGACATATGTAAAAGTTGGCAACAAATTCAATGTGGGAGATTTGAACTTTGGCTCTAGGCTGTTCTTGTCTTCATTGAGAAAAACCTCTACTTGCCCAAGTCAAGAAACCAAGTAAAGTCGCGAAACGTGACAAAACGCGTTCTACAAGGTGAGGAGTTTGAAAACAGCTCAAGCCAACAGAATGGATATCATATGGATCCGACCTGCGATCAAGCCTGTACATCCAAGTGAAGTGGAAGATCTTTCTGATTCTGCTCTAAAACTTTTAAGAGCCTTGGAGTTGAGATTTCATCAAAGACACACTGGAATTTTTCAGCGGTTATCACAGGCCAACCCCTACGATCAACCTCGTCCCATGGGTCCACAACTTCAGACGTGCTCTCTGTCTCCTGTTAGATTTAACTCTTTCAGTCGTGAAGTACCCAGTATAACGCCCTGGTCTGGAGGTTTTAATATCACGCCAGCTGCAGCACAGAATGACAGATTCAATCATACTGACAGGTCTCCCCCACATGCTCCATACTATACCAATATGGGAAGCCCGCTCCCCAAATCTCAGACATGTTCAAAAAATTTGTGGAACCCTTCATCTCCTGCCCATTCTCGTACAGGAAGAGAATCAACATGGGAGGAGCTCAGTGATATTTTTGAAGAAGGAAATGATGATACGTTGAGACGGCAGAGTGAATCATTTTCTACTGCTGTTTCACCGAGAATAGTCAACCCCTCACTACTTCATTCAAAGAGTAGCTCTCCCATGTCAGTCTTAAATATGTCTCTAACAGAACAAAGTAGTTTCCTGCAAACAAGGTCATGGCCAGATCCTCCATTGAAAAGAGATGAAGTTATCAGATTAACAAAGGAGAGAAGAGGAGCAGAGAGTATTCCAAAAAGAGATGAAACATGTTATGTTCACACATTTTCTGCAAACAATGACATCACTGAAAGTGGAGCCAAAAGTAATGACGAAGATGGCAATAGTTTATATGAATCCTTTGAGAACAGAAGTTTCGGCTCAAATGACAACCATTCTGTCAATTTAGTTCAGCAAAAGGATTTGAGGACATTATCATCAAACAAATTTAGCCCTCAAAAGTTAGATTTCCAATGCAGTGATTACAAATCTGACACAAGATTTAAAGAAAATACTGAACTACAAAGTGCATCTAGTGCAGCCCCAAATTTATTGGACCGTTCCCACTCTTCCCCTCTATTCGACAGGAGTTTCAGTTTTGAGGGAGAATTAACTCAGCCTATTGCTCATCCTTCTGGAAACAATGATGCAGCTTATTCCCTCACATTGCCGAATTACATCTGCAGTCCTGATCTTTTTCAAGATGAAGGATTATCCAAACATGGCTCAGAGAATAAAACAAACTTAAACCATTCAGAAGAAGATGAAAGAATATCTAAACATCACTCAGAAGATAGAGAGAATTTAGAACATTCAACAGAGAGCATTTTAATCACCCCAGATAAAAAAGTTAAGAAATTCTTAGGCAATACTTTTAAGAGAGCCATTCGTTCATCATGTTTATCTAGAATGGGGAGTTCAGAAGAGTCATTCACCTTAAATAGAGAACCACAGAGTGAAGATGTTGAGAGAGAACAACCAACATTAACTTTGAATGAGGAAGAGAATACTGACATTGAGACATCACTGAACACTGTTGTGCGGGAGGAGAATGCGCAAAATGTTTGGAATCTTCCCACAATTGAGGGAAAACCTCACCAAAACCAAAACACATTGCATCATCTTTCAGAAACAACAATGTTAAAAGAGAAAATTTCAAAAGACCCTGAATCTACTTTGTTCTTTCCCATATTTAATACCACCAACCAAACTAAACGAAAACATGATGCAAGAGAAGAAACATCTATGACAGGGTCACAAGGATCCTGCAGAAAAAAGATAAAGTTCACGGTGCCATACAAAAAGCAGGTAAAATCTGTAAATAAATACATTGTTTATTGTAATTTATATTACAAAAATGAATAGTTTTTATCTATGGGAACTACAAGTTTCAACTGTTGATAGCAAATAACTATTACAGGACAGTACTGGACCTGTGTCAACAGCGAAAACAATCCAAGAACTTGCTACAAAGTTATCAAAACAAGTTGGTGAGAAATTTGAGTTTGAAGAATTGACTGAAAACCTAGCAAATGAAATCACTCAGAAAATTACCAATAATGTATCTTCTCTCCAAGAGATATCAATCACTCTGTTATACAAGTAAGAAAACTGTAAATGCTTATTACACAGAACATCACTGACTCCTACATAGCATTTCCTTTTGTTTTCTTCTTCTATTTCTTTCTGTAGGGAAGGATTTTGCCAACTAAATCGTTCAAAGGACTGCAAAACCTCACATCCTGATAAGGTTCTTCTGCGATTTGTGTGGGAATGTGATATACAATACATCTCCCTTAGTCTGCTCAAAACAGCTTGGTCCTCTGCTTTCCTTAAAAACTTAATGTCTGATAAAACTAGAAAGATATGCTTTGAAGCCCAGGAAATAATTCAGCTGTTTGTAGACAAGTTTGGCTTAAATGCAACTGAAGGTAAGAACTTTTTCAACCTTTAAAGTCATTAAAACTATAAAAACACTGCATTATTTTTCCTTTTGATTTGTAGTTGCCTCTCAGTGGCTGATTTTAGATCCTTTGGTAGGATGCTGGCTGTTAAACTCTGATGAACCTCCTCATTCTTTTAAAGATGTCCTAAATTTTTTGCAACTTTGTGAGGTCTGTAGAATATATACTTAAAGTATTAAGTGAATACAGTATCATTACTTTTCTTCATCATGGTTCTTTTTTTAATTTGAACTTCAATCCAGGATAGTAATGGTGCAGTGAAACTACTCTGTAAATTATCACAATGTGCACAAGTTTTGTATGAGAAGCTTACAAGATTTGGGTTGTGGAAATTGTTTCTACACATAGAAATGCGAGTCACTCCAATCCTAGCATGTATAACAAATTATATCTGATACTTTCCATTAGCATTTTTTTTTTTTTTTTGGTGTATCTGGCTTTGCAATACATAGCTATCTTTATCTACAGGCATGGAATTGCATGGAATAAAAGTAGATAAAGACAAGCTTCGTAAAATGGCATCTCTTTTAAAGGTATTCAACCCTCAAAAACTTATGAAACTTACAACTTAATGAGCCTTACTAATGATTGTTCCTAAATATGATTTGTCTGTTGTTGTTAACATACAGGGGCGTTTAGAGGATATTCAAAAAGCTGCTTACAAAGCAGCAGGTAGGCCGTTCCAATTGACCTCTCCACAACAATTGAGTACAATTCTATATGAAGATTTGAAACTGGATCTTAAACACAATATAAGTGTAAAAGAAACTAACAAGCAACATAAAAGCACATCTGAGGCAATGGTATGGGATTTAAATTTGTAAATATAGGGCAAAATCTATAATTAATTGCATTTTGTAAGTATGACTTCTTTTTTTAAAGCTCAACAAATTCAAAAATCTACACCCATTACCTGGAATTGTTCTAGAATTTCGTGGCTTACACAAACTTAAGAGTACTTATGTTGATGCAGTACTAGGCCATCTTTCTGGGGATAGTATTTTCACCACATGGTCAGCTAGAACAAATAATTTTAAATCAAAGTGAAAAATTAAAAAGTTATTTTTATAAAACAAGTTGGCAATAACTGTTAAAAATTTGCTTTTACTTTTCTTTACAACAGGGATCAAATATCAGCTGCAACAGGCCGCATAACTTCAAATGAACCAAACCTACAGGCTATTCCAAAGCAACCTTTGATGCCTGACCTCGACTTACGTACAGCATTTGTGGCTCGTGATGGCTTCTCATTCTTAGCTGCTGACTTTCAACACATAGAGCTTCGGGTATTTGCTCACTTGTCAACAGATGCTGCTCTAATAAGTGCACTGAGTCAAAAGACAGATGTGTTCAAAATTCTAAGCAAAGAATGGTGAGCTGACTATATTTTATGTATGTTCTCAAGAAGCCCATGTCAATCATTTCTTTTCTTGTTAATAATGGAGTGCCACTGATATAGGCTTCAGATAGCTGATGTTGACAAGGTCACTGTTGAAGATCGAGACAAAACTAAACGCATTGTTTATGCTTTGATGTATGGAGCAGGTCCATCCAAACTTACTGAATTTCTTCACATAGACTACAACCATGCTAGTAAAATATTAGAAAAATTCTCAGGTAGAAGCATAAAGTTTTGCAAATATTAACAGTAAGTGTATTTGACTGCCATAATGATGACATTGTGACTTACAATTGTGATACTTAGATGCCTTCCCCAAAATGCAAGATTTTACAAAGAACACCATAGACCTATGCCGTAAACAAGGATATCTAGCAACAGCAAGTGGTAGGCGAAGATCATTTCCAAACATAAAAAGTGAAAATTTTCATTTGAGGACGCACAGTGAAAGGCAGGCTGTAAACTTTCTGATCCAAGGTATGAGGAGATTTTAACCAAGGAAGAAATTCTAAATGGTTCAAGACATAAAGCAAACCTTTGGTTGTAATTTCAGGAATGGCTGCAGATCTCTGTAAATGTGCAATGGTGCACACTCAAAGACATCTCGCTTCAGTAAGAGTAAGTCAACTTCATACCACTCGGCTTCTTCTTCAAATTCATGATGAACTTTTGTGGGAGGTTCCAGATTCTGATCTCTTACATATAACAGGTAAGATATTTCTTTAAGTGCTAACAACACATCAGGGTATCCTGATACTACTTTCAAGAGTTTTGTTAAATTTAGATGTCTTACAAGAAGCAATGGAGGGAGCCACATTGGCAGTCCAAAGCTTGTCAAGCTTCTCAGTGCCCTTGCCTGTTGTAATGAAGACAGGCAAAACCTGGGGAGAGATGCATATTGCAAAAACTGCTTTACTTGGACCAAGTCAACAGCAACAGCCATGATCTGGAAATGGCAAAATAATTGATTACCAAGCAGCCTGAAATATTAAAAGGCAAATATTTATATCATTCTGAATATTAATAATAACAATCTAATAACCTATCCATCCATGTTAAAATGATCACAGACAATAATTATAATTTATGTAACTTAAAAGTATCAAATTTAAAAGTTCAGAGCAGAGTGTTTCAATTGATTAATCATTTAATCTTTAAAAATAACGTTACATATTTCACTTTTTGTAGGCAGCTTTAAGGTGATCGAATTATATCAGTTCGTAATTGAAGAATAGTTAGAGCACTCTGCCCATCCATAGTGTGTAAGCCTAGGTCTGACAGAACATCCCAACTGCTTTGTTCAGAGTCATCTGTAGGTTGCCCATGAATGCTTTCCCTTTGTAAACACTCCTGTAGGGTTTCTTGCAACAGAAGAGCTGAACCCTTTGCCATAGTGAGCAAAGAGCAAGCTTCTTTTACTCTGGAAATTAATT